GACAACATTGTTCTCGTGTGTTCAAGTGAATAGATTATGGAGTCGTTTAGCAATGTCATATTTATGGTATCATCCATTCGAACATGACAACCCAAGAGGACATTTACTCATTCAAACGTTAATAACTTGTTTACCGTAGTACGAATAAAGCAATCTTGGAAGGTATAAGAGTCTTGAGATTTTCGATTAAGGAGAAGACACCATTATTTAGTTATCCAAAATTTATCAATTGTTTCAATTCAGAATATCTGATTAAATCCGTTAAGCAATCATTTAGTACGAATGTTACATTGATACTTCATCTTTAATGGAATATGATATTTTATCCATTTAACCGACTAAGAATATTGGAATTACAATTCGACGATCAATAGAATTTTTTGATTATAGATTGATTGATGACATACACTCTTCCATCATATTTCAAAAATCTTTAGTAAACTCTCAAGAATTGAGATTCGAATCTACATAAATAATACACGAACCTATTTCTTATCGTGAATGAGGGAAAGTATAACTTTTATCATTCATTTGATAGGGGCCATTTCATCCTCGGTCAAATCTAAAAAGTTTGGCGATGAACGAATATTGTTTGGGTTATAAGAACTCGTCGATACACAACGCCATATTATCAACTCATTCAAATTCTTTGAAACATTTGGGATATTGCGTGATAAATGATTATTCTTCGTTGATGGGATTAATATCAAAATGTAAAAATTTGGAAATGTTGGAAGTTACTCAACAGGAGAATCACGAGAAAACCATTCGACGGGGATTACACGCATCAAGAAAATCGCATCAGGCACTTTTACCATCGTAATGTAAGCGGAATTACAAATTTCATTTTCAAATGTCATCACAAAATTTAAAATCGTTTGCATCCAGATACATAACCAAAGATATAATGGATACGATGGAACGTCATAATTCGGGTTTAACTCGTCTAAATATTTCAATGAGATCAAATCATATACTCGATTTGATACATTTAATCGGTGGTTGGAGTCCCTTGAACATTTTTACTTTAGAATTGGAAGATGAATGGCCGATACTGGATCATGAATTGATAAAGGAGTTTGTGAACGTTTACCAATTTCATTAAAATATTTGGGCCTTAATTTTTCTATCATTCCTGATCAATTAAGTTCCTTTCTTCGAGAATGTGCTAAAGTTGGATTTGATGCATATTCATCGAGACGATTTGGATTACTTAAAGGTCTCGTTGGACATTTTAATCATTTGAGAAAAGTTAAATCAAAGAAAGGAATTCCCGGTTTAAATGGATTGGTTGAATAGGATTTTACCGTCGAAACGGGTGATTTAGGTGGTGTTTGCGAGGTAAACCTTTTTAACTTTAGTCATTTACGGTAAGTCGAAAAATTAGAATAATTTTTATTCGACCCTGTTAAAAAGCTCTGACATTCTTCCTAATATTCTAGATTTAATATTTCATGGATCGCTTTGAGATAAATAAATCTTTAATCAATCTAAATCTTGACGTGCTGGCGTCGTATAACGTTATATTCGAATTTAAAATTCCTCTGTGCCACATTCAA